TCCAACACTGGCAGGATCTTGAACGTCGCTCCGACGACCAGCTCGCGCCACTCGATGAGCTCGACCGCAAGCAGTCGCTGGACGTCTCCGACCAGGGTCCGGATGGACATCGGCTCCACCTTGGACACTCGCATCTCCACCCAGGCCGGCACCACGTTGACGAACTGGAAACCAGCCTCGAGCAGAGCGTCTGCAGGACCGCAACGCACTCCCGCGAGTCCAGCAACCCGGTTGGGATCTGGACTCCGGCCAAGGTCCTGGGCAGTCGACAAGTCCCGACGGCTGGGTGCCAGGTCGGCCAACCAAACCTCGGCCGGGTCCTGCGAAGCCACCTTGGACGCCAGGTACTTGGACGTCGCAAGCGTCGCGGTCAGTCACAGCACGGAGTCCGGACGGGACTTCGGCCAGGCATACGCCACGTTCGGCGGAAGCGTGAGCCCAGACCGGGCTCTCTCCCACCGGGACGCCTGCAACGCCGCGTACGTCTTCGCCGCTTGGACACTTGGGTGCTCGGCCGGCAACTCCGTCGGCGGGTTACCCCGGCTGGGTCTCCGGTTGGGCATCAGCGGCCGGGGTCACCGCCTTCACAGGAACTGCGGCCGGCTTCTCCTCCTCGGCAGACGGCGTCGGCTTGGGTTCGGCGGACACTTGCGCGTCCGGCTGCATATCTTGGCCAGGCAGAGAGGAGTCCGAAACTCGACCCTCCGCCTGGGGCTCATCCACGTCGGCGCCTCCCTCAGACGCCTGGTTGGGTTCACCCTGGCCGGGATCCCCCTTAGCGGTCTTCGACTCCTCGTCCGCGTCAGCACGTTCGGGCTCGCCGTCCTTCGACACTTGGTGCGCGTCATCTGGGACGGCCGGCTCGGGTGCCGGCTGGACTTGGTTCGAAGACCCATCTCCGGCCAGGGCCGCCTTCCGCTTTTCAGTGTTAACCCTCCGAGCATTGCGTTGAACCTCTTCCAGGCTCGGTTGCTCCTCGGGCGGCAGCCCCGCCGTACGACGCGATTGACGCGACGCCTCTCCGCGTCCTCGTCCTCCGCGCCCTCCTTCGCGCATGTCTCCTTCCTTAGCTGTCATAGACGCTAGTTAGGAAAGTTAGCACACCTCACACCTATAAACTTACAAAATATAAACAACTCCGGTGAAATCCCTGGTTCCAATCCGGGCACACAGGCGAGGCGGGTGAACGCCTGACCGCCCAGGTGTATAGCTTGGCGCGTCCCGGGTGTAGACTCCCGAATGGGGTGCACCCAGAACAAACCCTAGCCGGAGATAGTACACCTAGATGTACACTCCAACCGGGGTGGCGTGTGTCCTTGTGAACAATCCCTGTGGGTTCGTTTGTCTTCGTAACCAGGGGTCTTCAACCGTGGATGAGTTGTCTTGATACTTGTAGGTCGCTGGGTAGCAGGGCAGGACGTAACCTTCCTGGACGTCGCCTCTGACAGCCCTCAGATAACCAAGCAATACAAACAGATACTGAGTTATATACAAACACGTAGCCCTTCCTTATTCTCTTGGACCATGAAAGGGTCGGTCACTACTCCAGTCAACTCCAGCCGGACTCCGGGATACTGGTCAATCCCGGTCGGCTTTGGCTCACGCGTACCACCCTCAATTACTGAGGGAGACTAACACAATCAAATACCTCCTATCACACAATAGCTCTTAAATCAATACTTCCCACCCGGGGCTACTCCAACCGGGGTGACAAGGTAATCTGTAATATGAAATGCGGGGCCTTCCTGGTCTGGACGAGCTCAACCGCAACTAGGAAATGAAATGGGATGGATCAACCTCGGGTTGTCGCCCGGTACTCACCCCAACTTGGACTGGACTTGATTGCGGGAGCTCGACCCAGATGTCATAGTTGCTGGGCCCTCACACGTAGACTTAGTCGGTCCTCCGGGAATGCACGTCCGGTTGGCTGCTCCAACTCACTTGTGCGATCCTTGGCAAAACGAACTCTGTTTATCTGTCTCTCTGTCTCTCTGTCTGTCTGGCTATCTTCTGTCGATCTTTACATGCACTCCATCTTGACTTGTCTTCAAAATGGTCTTGTCGTCGTAATCGTCCGCGGTCCCTCGTGCCATACTTCCAGCAAGTATAATCATAACTGGGTACGCAAGCGAAGTTCAATGTTCCACGGAATCCGAACAGATCTCAGCTGGTCGGCTTGGTCGGTCGGAAACACCTTGGACTTTGTATACTGGATCTTCACATCTGGGATGGTATCTTGGTATCTTGGTATCTCCATTCGGGATTCATGATTATCTCCAAACGGGATCAAACTCCACTAGGGCGTCACATCCGGGGTATCTAGGACAGCTTCACGGTTTCTGGGTCTTCACTCAATCCAGTCGGGCTCCTCTTGCGTTGTACAGTGCACCAAGACCAGGCGGCCTCCAGTCGGAGGCACTTTTACGCTCCCTTGGGCTTTGCCTCTCGTTCGGTACTTGGTTCCATCCGGGGTCCGCTCTTGGGGACATCTCCATCCGGGGTCACCAAACCTTGTACACTGTCAACGCGAGTCCGGGCGGGATCCGCTTTTCCCATACGCCATGTGTCGCTGCCTCCCTCTCCCATAGTGAGCCACTGAGCCAACCAATCACAGGTGCAGCTCGGGGAATCCTCGAAAATCTCCAATTCCATCGTGTCACCAGTTGACGTTGAACCCTCGAACGACGCAGAACTAGCTACAGAAGATGTCAGCGACGCTGAGAAGTATGCGGACGATGTGTGACGTGCGGCGGTCAGCAGCATGTCGATGGAACGTCGGACCGTACGACCACCGGAACTCCGGTAGATTGGTATTGCGGCCAGAAGAGTGGCAGGGCATCCTGCTCAGTTTGACCCTCAGGTGCAGCACTTTCTAAAGCAGACACCGCTGTCATCGAGGAAACGGAGCCAATGTGTAACCCAGGGGCAGTGCGCGGGGTATCGACCGAACAACCAACGTCGGACCATACGACCACCGGAATTCCGGTGGTGTCGCAATGGATGGACTGACGATTGAAGCATGACCGGCTACACGCTGCAGAAGATGCCACTGAAGGTGAAGTAAACGGAACCAAGACGCAAAAGCATGGTATCGGTGGAACGACCAACGTCGGACCAGACGACCACCGGAATGCATCGGGCATGTGTATCACCGTGCGTAACGTAGCGGTTCCAAGCATCCTCAAATCCTCGGTGGCCCTAGCAGAAGATGAAATATCACTGGAGGAACCTTATGGTGTGTCGACCGACACTTCAGCAGCGACGGAAATCACTGGAGGCTCGGTCACAGGTGCAGCTTGCACCGGAACCGTATTATCAGCGCCAACAGAACCACCGGTGGGTAATGAAAGCTCTTACGACCCTAGCCAAAGTTGCAAAGTGTCGGTGACTAAATCGACAGCACCCTGGGATGCCGGAGAACAAGTTGGCGTCATTAACGAGGATCCAACTGATGGCAAAGAGCAGCAAGAACGCCCAGCGTACCGGACCAGAACACTGAAGGTCCAGGAGAGCGGCGGTCGCAGCGGTCAAGCGCAAGCGCAATGAATGAACCATGAAGTTGACGGACGGAAGGCGCCTAGACGCTCGCCTGTTGCTGAGGCTCGTGTCCAGGCGGGGGCAGTTGTGGTATCGGAAAATGGAGACTACCGGAGCGATTGCCCGTCGCCCAAGAATCAAGGTACAATAATCAAGGAGCAGTCAAGCGCGAGATGGAAGTGGCTGCTTTGGTTAAGCTGGCGACATTATCCTCGTTGAAGTGACAGGTAGTGGCCGGAGCCTCGTCGGGTCCTAATACAACCCCAAACGAGGCTCCACAGTACCCACTTTTAGGTACAGATGCATTTAGTTACGTACTTCGGCCGCACTTATTAGTGTAGCCGCGGTCATCACTTGATGTGTCCGGAATCGCCTTATTGCGATCGTTCACACTAGATATTTGTATAGGGACATAGGACTCGTCATAGGATGGCCAGAACGAGGCCACCAGGGCCTCAGAAAACTCAGTAATAAAAAGACAGTCTTCCCCCAAAGCCAGCAAGGGTCAAGTCCGACTTCGGTAAGTGTAGCTAGCTTATTGTCGTGCCTGGACACGCTCGGCTGCGTGTGGATGCCTGTCGGGGAGCTTATCGTGCATTGACCGAGAGTTTCCTTGGCAGCGCCAAGAGTTGGTGTGGCCGGAGAGGTAGGAACGGTATTAGGGTATCGTTCAGTATATATTTGTGGGATTAGAGTGTCCCTGAGTGTATTAGTCTACCTACCGATGTTTTACCTTGGTCCCCTGTATAAGGCCTAACACGCCGGTACCCTTCCTTTCTGAATGACTGCAGGGGGGTTGCGCGAAAGCGCTACATAGTATCCTAGCCTTAGCTCGTGGCTAGTGGTACAGGTTTTTGGGTTGACCGAAGATAACCTAAGGTGCACAGAGGCGCTTGCAACCGACCCGATGTAAGGGATCGTTCCTGGTCTTCAGGTTTTGATTCAATAAGCGCTTACTTTTGCGGGTTAGCGTGTTGTTGGTGTCTCTAATACCTTTTGGTAGAGGAGGATTTTAGTGGAATTACCAGACCACAGTAGCGCCTCGATTTGCACCTCATAGCTTTGGCGATATCGTGACAGTGATTGGATCAGATTTGCTATCTTTCGGCAACGTACCGGTACCCTACACGAGTTTACTGGTGGCAAAGCACCCTCGAGAGATTTCAAGTTCTACCCGCCCAGCATGTCATGCACCGATCCTCCTCCCCATCCATGCCGCCAACTACAACGCCTTGAGCACCCGCTCGCGACGAGCCGGACCGACAACAGAAGCTCAACACGAGCGGTGCTCTAGCGTCTACTACGGCCTGCCAGCGGTGGCTAGCG